TTTGAGATGGTAAATTTTGTGAACAAAATAAAATGTTAAGAAGCAGGCAGCAAATGAAAAAGATCACTATAGTAGGTAAAGAGCCCACTGAAAGAAATAAGAAAAAGAATCATGACTCTAATATATGTGAATAAGGGACATAAAAGAATTATGTACATTTAAAGAAGTTAGAGGCGGGCGTTGACATTTGCGGAATGCTTGTCTGTGTTGTACACTGCATTAGGAATTTGACCTCTCATTTACTTATGGAAATACGGGATCATTCAGTCAACAAACATGAAGTCTGGTGTCTGTCCCACATTCCTATGTTTTCTCTATTATCTACAAAAGTCTATAAGGCTACGCTTTTGTTTGCCCCAAGAAAACTCTTTCACTTCTGCCTTAGTCAAATCTCTCCAGCCAAGCAGTTTCTGCAGATATAATCCATGCACTCAGGTGTTAGAGGACAAAAAAATTATGCATCTGGAATCCTGATAATTGGGTCTGGGATACAATTCAGTTATTTTTGAGTTGTCTGAGTTCTGCAAGTATGGTAATTATTACTGTTTGTTCAAGATACTCCTATAATACTCATTTAGGGTAGTTCTAACAGATACTGGAAATCTGAAAATTTATTGTAAGCTCTTTGGCTAAAGATCATGTTTGATTTTGGTGCTCATATTTGCATGTGCAAATATGCAAACAGAAATTAAATGGCTAGCTGAATTGGAAAAAAAAAGTACACTCTACCCCACTGGAGATGGGTTTATGCATAGTTCATATCTGCAGTCCAGCTCTGGGGTTCGTTACCTCCCCAAGCACACAGGCCCCGAGCCACTATACTGGGAAATGTTTGTCCTTGCTAATAGTCAAGTGCAGATCAATGCAGCATTGAGGGACTGTCTTATATTTACTAAGCTAGAAAAGAGATGCTTTGAAGGTCACACGAAGCATCGGTGAGCACAGAGATTCACATAGTCACCCTGAGCCAAGGGCATAGTAGGATCCCTTTGAAAAGAAATGTAGCAGAGGTTGGGGGTGTAGCTCAGTCAGAGACGGCTGCCCTCGAATGTGTAAAGCCCTGGGTTCCGTGTCCAGTAAGGCAGGTGTGTGCGCGCGCGCACACACACACACACACACACACACACACACATATGCATGTACACACACACTTGGAAAGGAAAGGGAAGGAAAAGGAAAGAGAGGAACACAACAAACTTTCATAAAATGAACTCATGTTCTAGCTCTGTGTTGGAATTCACACCAAAGTAAGTTTAAAAGATGGAAAAAGCCAGAATCATTGAAATGTGCACGGGACCCGGATGTGGCGGCACACACCTATAATTCCCATAGTCTGGGAGGTTGGCACAGGAGGATCACGAATTTAAGCACAGCTGGAGTAAATTAGCAATTTATCGAGACCCTGCCTCAAAATGAAAATTTTAAAAAGTCCTGGAGATGTAGTCCAGTGCAAAAGCCCTGGGTTCAATCCCCAGTATCCCGTAAATCAATAAATCAGTGTGCATTATTATCAATGGCAAACAAACCTGGAAAAAACCCTACACACTTGTTAGGAAAAGAGCTTTTCCAAAATATGGTACAACCCCATGAAGGAGTAGTATGAAGGTATCAAAATGATCTTTAACAGAATCATCGAACTATTGTAAAAATACCGAAAACATCTATTAGCGTTAAGTAAAAATCATAAGCTGTAAAAATAAGTAATGCAAACTGCAGCCATGCTGTCCAGATCTGCCTGCTCTGAGCGGCGCCGTGATCACAGGTCCCAGGTGCCGAGGGAAATGCTGCCTGCTGGGAGACTGGGAGAGCCCAGCATGGGTTTTTTTTTTTTCTTTCTTTTTTCTCTTCCTTGTCACGACACTATCTTTTCCATAATACAGGATCCATGTTTGACAGCAATAAGCCCATGGGTGGAGCGTCTGCTCCGGGAAGCCCCTGGCCCAGGAGCTGTGGGAAAAACAGGAAGCAGGAAGGTCACGGTCCCCAGGGGAAATCCCACTGCTGGACGGGCTCAGCTCCAGAGATCTGTGTCAGGGGAGGGGACGCGCAGGACCGCAGTGACGTTTTTAGAGCAGTCAGCTCTCTCAGAAGGGTCACGCCAGTTTAATGTGGGGCTACTTCCTCCCCTTCTGCTTTCATTCATCCATCTGCTAGGCGCATTCTCTCCAACAGACCCCGCCACAGTGGGCTGGTTGGGGAGACCCTCTCGAAGCACTTGAGGTGTTGATGTCACTGATCTCAGTGCAGTTCAGCATTAATTTTATCTTGTTGTTGTTGTTTGCTTGTTTGTTTTTTTGATATAGGGTCTCTCTATGTAGTTCAGGTTGGCCTTAAACTCACTATGGAGCAAAAGTTGATCTCGAACTCACAGTGATCCTCCTGCCTCAGCCTCCTAAGTGCTGTGGTTACCGGCATGTGCCACCACACCCAACCTCAACGTTAATTTTAAAAAGTAGCAGCCGATAAAAATTTTCTCATCTATTCAGAAAGCATAAGCTACGAGAGTTTATAGGAACTTCAGAAGACTCTCCAAAATCAGGGGTCTCTTTGTAGGAGAGTTGCATTCCTTTCCTTCTCATCCTTGGCACAGGTTCCCTGGCCACAGCCTCTGCCTCTCCAGTGAGGACCACAGGTCCATCCAGCGGGTCCACTCAGGAAAATGATTCAAGGGGTTGAGACCTGGACATTATTTGACCCCCAGATGAGATCCATCTGTTTAAAGAAAAGGTGGCTCTGGGTTTCCCAGAGGAGGGGGGCTTCTCAGAGTCCGCTGTCACAGGAACAGGGACACTGCAGGGGAGAAGGCGTGCAGGACGGTCCTCGTCCTTCTTCCTACCGAGACCTCTGACGCACCAGCTCTGCACATGTGCTTGGAGCAGAGAAAAGTTACAGACTGCGCTGGGGCCCACGGCCTGCGGCTTCACCTCCTCACGGGCTGTCGCCTGCCACACTCCGATGTCTGTGACGTCGCTGATGTCATGCTACCCATGCTGAGGCCAAGCCCTCCTCCTCCAGCCATTCTGCAGTCCTGGGGAGGTCCAGATTGAGCCCCTATTCCACAGAAGCCCAAACTGAGGCTCTGAGCCCTGAAGTATTGCTCCCAGTGACGTGGATGTCAAGGGGCAGAACCACGGTCCCTGACCGCCCACCCCCCGGAGGGTGCACCGTGGTAGGACAATGCTACCAAGAGCGGCTCTGAGCTCCTGACCCCGTCTGGCCCCTGCTCACTTCCTAGCCTGCGACATAGCCCCTGAGCCCTGTGCCTCCGCCTCTGCCCACCTCTGTCTTCTCCTCATGGTCCCTTCCCTTCTCATTAGACCTCAGATCAAAGGACTCCTCCCCTGAGAGGCACATGGGGCCACAGCAGCCAGGGCCCTGTCTGACGGCTCCATGACATCTCTGCCACCTAGTAAGCCCAGGTGCCTGGACTGGCTCCTCTCTGTGTCCCCAGGTCAGGTACCATGCTCAGCCACTGTAGCACTCAGTGCCTACTTGCCTGTGGAGTGAATGAGCCCTAGGCCACCCACTTCCGGTGCCCCCCATACCCTGGCTGCCCTTTGCCCCAGCCTGGCTCAGCCATGCCTTTGGGTCATGGATTCTTTCAGAGCACTAGCAGGCTGGGCAGTCATGGGTAGACCAGATGGCTACAAGGGGCATGGTTGCTGGCTGGGCCCAGAGACCTTTACCTCTTCTGCAGGTCCTCCTTCCTTCTTGGGGCTCCTCAACCCTTGTGCCTACCTCAGTGGCTTGAAGACCTGAGAGACCATTAGCCTCTGTAGAGCCTGCTTACTAGGTGGCAGAGATGTCATGGAGCCGTCAGACAGGGCCCTGTCTGCTGTGGCCCCATGTGCCTCTCAGGGGAGGAGTCCTTTGATCTGAGGTCTAATGAGAAGGGAAGGGACCATGAGGAGAAGACAGAGGGACAAGGCTGGCAGCTGCTATGGGGAGGCCCTCTCTACCTGCTCCCTAAAGATGCCCCAAGGCGGCTCAGGTTGGGGGTCGTGCTAGGGACCCACCCCAGACCTCCAGGGCCAGTACCAAGGAGGATGACCCAAGCCTCCTACAAAGATCCTCTGTCCCTCACAAGACAGAGACCAGCGTTGGGCAGGGCTGTGTGACCTTCGCAATGAGGCACCAGCTGGGGGGCAGAGGAGGGGACCTGAATTCTGCCGGGCGTGACCTTTGTGCTGGCCCAAGCCCTGTGTCTCTGGGTGTAGTGATGCCAAGGCCCGGGCCCGCACCCTCAGCCTCCCACCTGGGCCGCAGTGGCAGGGCTGAGGGAAGAGGCAGGTGACAATCCCCCCGGGAGGTTACAGCTGTAGGGTGGGAGCTGCTGCCACCACCTGAGAGTGGGTGAGGAGCAGGTTAGCTGGGTGAAAAGTTCACGATGAGGGGAGCTGTCTGTTTCCCTCGCTTAATTTATCCACTATTTGGCTAACCTTGCTCTGAACCCAGGCCCGAGACCCCTCTCCGTGCTCCCCCGCCTCCCCACCGGGCTTCCGAGCCACCACCGGCCCTCCCGCCGCCCTCGCGGCCGGGCAGGGGACACGCTGGCCTTGAAGAGGCCCGGGACCCGCGGGCGCCTGGGGGAGAGGCCAGCCGGCCGGCCAGGCAGTTATTTATGACCCGAGGCTTCTTCCATTCTCAGTAACCAAAATAAAGTCCGGTTGCCGGTGAGGTCCAGGCCTCGAGGGCTTCAGAAGGAGCCCCGCCCGCGGCTGCCTTCGCCAAATACACAGCCGTGCTGGAGACGGTGACCTTTCCTTCAGGAGCCATCTGTCATCCTGGCCTCAGGCAGGACCTGGACACATGGCCCATCCGTGCAGCAGGGGGAGGCTGGCCTCTTTCCCTGGCCCCAGGATGGCCTCTGGGCCCTCCACTGTCCTTGACCGCTCAGGTGGGTCCCGTAGACCCTTCCTCAGCACAGTTGTCCTTTTTCTGACCAAGTGGCAGGATGCGGAGGTGCGGGGGAGAGGATAGTCCCGGCGTCGGTGACCTACCTGCTGTGCTGTGGGGTCCCTGTCTGCTCAGATGCCTGGTGCGTGTGACTTCTTGCAGTCCAGGCACTTAGAGCCCTGTCACAGTGGGAGACTGACTGAGGGGCTGAGTGTCTCTAGTTCAGTCTCCAAGTTGTTGGTGACAGGACAACCCAGAGCGCTTTGATCCCGAAGCCAGCGCTCTCTGCGACCGAACTCACTTTCCCGGCCTCACTTTTTATGTTTTCACTGAAACATTTTTGGCAGCCAAAGAAATCACATGTGTCCCCAGCAACCAGGGAGACGCAAAGATACATAAAGGATGAGTCATCCTGTCCCTGGCCGGCCCCCACCTCCGCATATTCCATGGGACCTTCCTCTACGTCTCCAAATTTAAAAATGTGCACAAATGTGAGGGCCCTGGGGCTCCTACATCGACAGGGACTGGCTTGTTTTGACAATCACAGGGACCTGTGTTCATATCCCTGGGTTCTTTTCTACTAATGCAGCCCACAGCAGTCCTGGCTCAAAGGCATCCAAGGTGTTCTTCCTCAAAGCTACATAATAACCCTCATTTGGGTGGACACAGTTATCTCACTTGCTTACTTTTGTAGTGAGGTAGGACAGACAGACAATCTCAAGCACACAGCTTAGTCTGTGTCGCATGTGTATATGCCTGCAGAGCCACCCTGCAGAGACATCCCAGCACTGAATGTCTCCAGTCCCTAAAGATTGGTGTGCATCCCTGTAATCCCAAGCCTCTGGGAAGCTGAGGCGGGAGATTGAAAGTTTAAACCCAGCCTAGGCAACTTTACAGAATCTTGTCCCAAAATAAAAAAAATAATAATAATAATAAGAGTTGGGCGAGTAGCTTAGTGGAAACTTCTTAGGTTTAATCCTTGGTACCAAAAAAAAAAAAAAAAAAAAAATTCCCACCCCATCCCCAGCCACATCAGCCCCCAAAATAATCACTAGGGTTACCCCTATCTCCACAGAGCCGTTGTGCCTTTTTGAGCTCTGCATGAATGGTCTCTTACAGAGTGAAATGTTGCACCTGGCCCTTTTTGCTTACTGTGATGTTTGCAAGCTTTCTCTGTGTTGTGCAGGTGGTGAGAAACCCTTCATTTTCAGTGCTATATAGTGTTTCAATGTATACATATTTACCATAATTGATCTATACTACAATTGATAGAAATGTGCACGGCTACCCCTGCAGGCTCCCACTCTTCTGTTTGAAGGAGGGACTTTGTCTCTCCCTTTGCTGATGAGCATAAAAGGGTTTTTTCATACTTCTCTGGGGAGATAACTGTTTCTTCCATTCCAAAGAGTCACTTTTTGGCTGGGCCAGGACAGAAAGAGCTTTGCAGGCCCTGGTGAGGGACACTAAGTTTTGTCCTGTGGGCAGTGGAGAGCCACTGAGTGTTCTAAGCAGGGAGTGGCGTGGTCAGATCTGCGTTCTGGGAAGGGCTCCCAGCTGTACAGTGGGTCGTCTGGAAGGCAGGACACTGCAGGCAGATACCGCCTCAGAGACCGTCCCAAAGTTCGAGCGAGGCAGAGGCCTTCGTGGAGGGTGTGGGGATGCTGGGAGCCCTAGAAGACAGAAGGGAAGAACTGAGGGCGGCTGGAGGTGCAGCCAGGGCCTGGGGGCCGGTGGGGAGAAGAGCCAGGGTGCAGAAAGGTTGGGGACTTGATCAGCAGGGGGCCCTGCAGCAGCCCTGGGGTGTCAGGACAGCTGAGGTCTGCTCCTCCCTGCTGAGCTGGTTCTCCCGAATCCCAAGCTCTGCATTTTCCAGGTGTGGCCCCAGGCCTGGTATCCAGGAGGCTGGAAGAGACACCTCGTGCGTGGTGAGAACTTGGACATGCTGCAGTGTCACAGCGCTGCACCGCCTGGGCTCAGCCACATCTGCTCTGCCCGGGGCCAGGCCTGCAGCACCTCCACCTGGCCTGGTCCTTCGTGCTACACACGGGGAGCCACCTTCTTTCCTGCCATGTGCCCACCCTTGGGGCCTGCTCCTCAGCTCGAGCCACCTCTCAGCTCTGCCACCTCCTGCCCCTGGCCACCTGCTTCCCCTGGATACTGAACGTTTTCTTGCCACAGTCTTGGACTCTCTGAATCCGGAACTATCTTTCCAGCGTGTGCTTCAGATCATGGCTGCACTTGGCCCAAACACCTCCTGCCTCCCTCTCGGGACGGCTGTCCTCTAAGACTTGGTGTCCAGAATCCCCGATGGCCCAGCCCTCCCTCCAGCTGTTCTGCTCTCTTCGTCCCTCCCTGGGAGCCCTGCCTGGTCCTCACCCTTTCTGGCTATCCTTTCAGGAGGCAGTACCCCAGCCCCCTCAGGACCGAAGACCTGGAAGTCCCTCAGGGGGCAAGTCCCTGCCTATCTGTATGAGTGACACCAAATGGGCCCAGCAAACCAGGCACCCGTGCTAACAGGTCCTGAATTCCTCCACCCAGAGCCCCTGCTCCCAGGCTCCCAGAGGACATGGCAAGCCCCAGATGGCCTCTGGCTCCTGCTGGGCAGGGGTTCCTGACACCACACGGGGACATAAGGCTTTTAGAACCAGCTTGGCCTCCCACACCACCACTTTCTCTCCGCAGCTGGGGCGAGGTTGGCAGGTTGCTTTCATTTCTGCTAGGAGGGGCAAGGCAGGGCCAGATGGTGGAGGCCTGGGCCGCGTCCCCTCCCTGCCTCAGGGCAGCCCATGATGGACTGCCAGCGAGGACAGGTCACTGCCAGGCACCACGCTGCCAACTGCCCACCAGGGTGCCTGGGGACTGCCAGTCAGGAGGGGTGAGTGGTCAGAGGCCGGGCTGCCAGCCGCCTGTCACCACCCTGGCCAACTGTTCGTCAGCAGAGGGCAAGTTCTGGGAGCTCAGCACTGCCTGTCAGGGCACCAGCCAACTGTCGCTCAGAAAGCCCAGGGACGAGGCAGGGAGTTCACCAAGGATCACTCTGGTGGCAGCTGTGTTTGCCACCCGGCAACTCCTCACTCTTTTTTGGTCTGATTCTTTCCCCCTCCCCAGCTCTTAGTCTGTAGGCCAATCGGGTTGGTTCCCTCCCTGCTGCAGGGACAGCCCGGGGCTGACCATCACAGCTCTGATTCCTCCGGGCACTGTGATTGGTTTATCTGTGTTCAAGTTACTGGACGGAGAGTCCCGTGGGGCTTTTTTCTAGGTTCTTCGTGTCCCGAGCAAAGAACTGGACTAGATACGTACAAAATGCAGTGAGTATTGCAGGCCAGAAAGAAATTCGCTCTGCAGAGTGACAGCCAGCTGGTGAAAAGGCTCACAGTGGCCCCAAGGATAAGGGAAACAGGTCTTTTTATTCGAAGTCCCTGGGTTCTCTCTCTTTCATGCAAATAAGGGACTGGGAAAGTCTTCCTGTCAAACACCAGTTGGCTTCACACCGTGTATAAGCTGTTATTAAAAAATTTCATTTGGCTTTCTGTTGTATGTAGATAAAGGATCAAAAATAGGGTCTTTTGATTGGTTGTGCCCACATGCAAATGAAGGATTGAAAAGAACATCTTCTGATTGGTCCTGTGAGCGGCTTCAGACTCAAATGAAAGATTGGAAATAGCAAGTTTCTCGTTGGTCCAAAATAGCTCTCCCCTTAAAAGTGTCCCTCATTCTGTTGCTTTTAGACACGGGTCTAACCCAAGCCAGGCTTCGCCGATCAGACCTAGCTCTGGATGCCTGGAGTCTTTCTGTGTCTGTCTCCTTGGAGCCTGGCAGCCCACTTGCCACTCAGAGAGCGAGGTGTCAGAAGGAAGCAGTGCCGAAGATATGGAAGTGAAGGGCAGAGAAAGAGGAACTCCTGGCCAGGCGGTGAAAACCCAGCTTGTACCCTGGATCCAGTTATACTGGAAACCAGTTACCACTGGGCTTTGCTTTCCCCTTCTGGCCAAGCAAGAATGGCTGTGAATAGGGCCAGTGATCACCCAGGCCTGGGGGCCAGCTCTTGTCTGAGGCAGGAGTGTTTCTCGAGGAACTTCCAAGGGACTGGGCTAGACAGGCTGGCCCCGCCTCTGCTGCCCTGCCCTGGCGGCTGAGTGTGGCTGTGACTGCGATGCTCCCAGCCTTTGACAAGCAGGCCAGAGAGGTGGACTCAGCTCCATGGGGTGGGGGCAGCAAAGAGCGTCTGGGGCCAGCAGCGAGATCCCAGGATCCAGCAGCAATGGCAGCTACCGCGGCAGCGGGGCCTCACCAGTCGCCCTGTGGCCACACTTGGAGGCCGTGGTCTGGCTGCATCTCTGATGTCTGCCTAGTCCTCTGGTCTGGTCTGAGCTCCTGTATCCTGCTACAGAGAGAGCTGGGGTCTGCTGCTGGGGCCCGGGACAAAGCAACCCACCAAGCCTTTGTGCGCTTGGCATGAGGCAGCTACCCCCACCTCCGGGCTAGGGATGCAGGCAGCTGGCTTCAGGTTGGCAAACTTCCACGCCGGGTGGGCATTTGGCAAAAGCAGCTTCCTTGACACACCCAGCAGAATGCTGGCATATTTTAGGGGCTCTGGGAATTCGGCAGGGAGAGCAGTCTGCCTAGAGGGCCTGGCTTCGTGCCCAGCCCCGCGGGTGTGAGGAAGGGGATTGCTCCTTCCCAGGGCCACAGTTAGGAGGCAGCGCTGATCCTAGCAAGCTCCTGGCTCTTGAAGGAGACGCATGTTCAATTACAGAAAGGCCTCCAGAGTCCACCGGACATCCACCACCTTGGTCCACCTATGGCTAGGGAGTGAGAGACTGGGCCCAGAGGTAGCAGAACCTGGCAATACTGCCAGGGAGCCACAGGAGGAGGCCTAGCTGGAGCTACACAAAACGTTGATGGATCGTGGCAAAAACTAGATCCATTCTCTTTATGTAGCAGGCTTCAAAAGCCACAAAGCCAGGCAGCCCAGGTTTTGCCGCTGGACTCTGAGGTTCAAATCCCAGCTCTACCAGTGGCAGCTGTGAACAAAGCCCTGGGAAGATTCCTTCATCTCTCTCTGGCTCTGCTTCTTGTAAAGTAAGTGTCAGGAGGTTTTCAGCACTAAATGCGTGTGACTTACCAAGCACAGAGTGATTTGTTACTTTTATTATAAAATATAAATTTATTACTTGGTATTTGTTGGCACTGAGCACTCAGGCACTAATTTTTTATGTGTATTACACCCTTGATTTTCACAAACAACTCTGTAGAGGACAGGGCTCTTGGCCACATGCTACCGATGAGGAAACTGAGGCC